TATATATATATATATATATTAATCTTCTTTCAATCTTAGCATGCCAAGCTTATGTTGAAGTGAAGGTTCGGTTTAGGTAAGCCTTTAATCTTGCAATCTCATCAATATCATCACAAGTGATTACAATATAATATTCTAAACATTTATTATGTCCGATTCAATTTCTCACTCTTTATTACGAAATATATATGACCAGAAGCACATATTTATAGTCAAACTAAACTATGACCTTACTAAACTTTTCAAACAATGCCCTCAAGGATTGCATTATTTGTCTAGATAGAAATATACAGAGATCGAAGAATAAGATAGAATGTTAGTAAATAATTGAGGTAGTTTCCTTTTTACTATTATTATTAAAACTCTTTGATTTTACTGGTACTTGTTGTTTCTTTTGTTAGAAAAAATAATAGGAAGTATAAATTGAAGAAGAAGGCGATTTTGAGACGTGTAATCACTTTTTTTAAAGAGATATTGCCTATTTATATATTGGGGTAAATACAAATAATTTTATTCAAGGATATAACAAAGCCCATTGTTTATACATGCAGATTTTTCTTAGACTACTTTTAGAGAGTCTTTATATCTATAAAAATTAAGAGATAACTCTTCATAAGAGTCACGTCCTTTCATGAACAGGTGACTTTTCATAAAGGTTATATTTTTTCATGATCAAATGTGTTTGTTCAATATTAAGACCTCTATATATATTACAAAATATCCAACAATCGCTTCAGTAATTGTCATATAATTTATTGTCGCTACTATTTTCTTCTTCTGATTCTTCGTTATAGTATTTACTTTACATACTTGATCTTTTTGATACTGAATGCCTATTAAAAACAATATTTCTATCTTCTAATGATAAGAATAAATCGTAAAACTGCACTAATTATACTATATTTTCTTGATTTCCCACTTGTGTTCGGTATCCATATTGAAGCCCGACTATATTTAAATTCGCGCCAAAAAATTTCACATTGAAAGTAAAGTGTTCCCTATAAAATACGACTCCATACCCAAGAAAATCCTACATTGGTGGGAGGGGGGTAAACCACTCCCTAACGAATGTAACTCTATATCCATTGAAAGTCGAACCTAAAATCTCTTAATTAAAGATGAAAAAATATTTATCACTCTATTGCACTAATTATAATATTGTTTTTTGTTTTGTTGTGTCTCTCAATAGTCCAAAAGGAATAAACTACTCCTAGATGCTCTTTTGATTCCCATTTTTTTTGGTTTCATGAAAGCATATCAGCTCATTTCCCGAGGCACCTACCACGTGTCACACACAGTTAGGTCTGTGTTTGGTCGATTGTTAGAAACTGTACCAAATTTATACAAAAATTTCTCTCTCACCAAACAAATAATTTTTGCCTGTATTTAAAACACCTTTTTTCCTGCACCCAAAAAAAAAAAAAAATCAGATTATAAATCTCAACCTTTTTCTCTCTGTTTCTCTGCTTCGGATCCATCCGGAACAGTCCCTTTATTTGGCCAACAGGTATTTTTTCTTGCTTCGGTTAATGAATTCGTAGAGACGAATTCAAAATTTAAAGTTATCCTTGTTCAGACAAAGACAAAAATATGTA